GGGGGGAGGTAGGGGAGTGGGAATAAAAATTCAAATAAAAAAAGAAATATCCCAAATAGGCAAATCCATAGAGACAGAAAGTAAACTAGTGGTTGCCCGGGGATGAGGGGTTGAAAGGTTGAAAGGGGAGGGGGAATGAGGAGTGACTGCATTATGGGTATGGGGTTTATTATGGAGTGATGAAAATGTTCTGGAACAAGATGGAGGTGGTGGTTGCACAACCTTAACTTACTAAGAGCCACTGAATTATAAAAATGGTTAATTTCATACTATATGAATTACACCTCAGTTAAAACAAAAACACCAGTATAATACCCCACACAGAATAAGTCCTCAAAATGCTATGGAAGGTGCTGAAAACTAGGAGTGTGGCAGGTAAAGAGGTTGAAGGGAAAGCATCCTAGGTGTGAAGAAGGGTTCAAAGGGGAGTGTGTGGTGGCAAATCCAAGACTGTCACTTACTCTGGCCAGAAGGAATACTTGGTCTATGGAGTAGGGAAAGCGGGAGCAAGCTGCAGGGTCCTTAGGGTCAGGCCCAGTAGTCCGGAGGGTGATGGGAGACTCCTGAAGGCTTCTAACTGCTCAGACTTAAGTTTTTAACAGATTATTCTGAGGCTGGCTGAGTGGCACGTTGGTTGAGAGTTGGCTTGGGATGCCAGGTTCAAATCCCCCATGAGGGCCAGTGACGCTGCGCCATCTGTGCCTCACCTAGCCAGGATGGTGAACAACAGCTTGACCTGGAGCTGGGCTGCCGTGGGTGACCGCGGCAGCTGGTGTGCACTTTCGTGGTGAGCTGCCGGGAGCGGCTGTCCAATGTGCCACAGAAGGGATATAGGCCTGATAAACTGAACTGGCATCTTATGATGATTAACCAGAGTTGGGGAGGACTATGGGTGGGGCTGGGGTCCTTGTTAACTCTATAATCTTGACTTCCCATATATCTTTATGGTAATTTCTGGGGGAGGGATCAAAATAAAGGGATTAGCCATCTTGGAACTGGGGTCTTTTGTTCCATGTGGGCAACCGGTTGGGGCTGGTGACGGAGGTGCGCATTCTTGTCCTGGGGCGGTGGTTTTCCGTTTCTTTTTCCTTTTCCTGAATAAACTGTTTCTTTTGTGGATTACTTATAGAGAGTTATTTTTCGCCAGTCAACAGGCTAGGCCTGTGAATTGTTTTGGTTATGGAAAGTGGAGGTGTCTCTGGGGGCTTTAAGGGACAACATAACACAGCTAGCCAAGTCTGAGCTGGAAAGGGGGTAGAAAGGCCTCAAAGCAGGGACAGTATTGGAAGCCCCAGAGTGGACGAAAGGCCCCAGAGACAGTATGGCATGCAGTGATAGTAACGCTGGAGGGCACCAGCCTGTATAAGGCAGAGAAAGAGACTAAATGCCTGGGCAAGAAGCTAGGCGACAGGAACTTTTCAAGAGCAGTGCTGTCAGCCACTGGGCAGGCATGTCAAGGTACGGAAGAAAATGTTATCAACTGGGTTTGGCAACCTGAGAAGGCCAGTGACCTTGTGACATTTTCACTGGAGAGCTGGAGGTAAAAGACATACAGCAGGTTGAGGAATGAGTGAGAAATGAGGACCTACGTGAAGCCAGCAAAGCGCTGAAGACAGCTCTTTGAAGGAAAGTGCTGGCTAGAGGGAGAGTTTTTGGTTGCTTTATGGTGTTTAAAGGCTGAGGGGAAGGAGTGGAGTTAGTGAAGGTACAGGAAGGAAGGTTCCCGGCCCCCAAGGTTTAGGAGGATGGGTGAGGATGTGGCCTTGGTCGAGGGGCCAGAGGAAGGGTGGGGGTGATGCAGCTGTGTTTTAAGTGTGGTGGGAATAAGCTGTGGGAGAGCCTGTCTCAAGGACTCTATTTTTCTGTGAAAGAGTGAGGCCACCACGTGCGTGGAGTGTGGGAGAACTGGAATGGAAAATGAGGCATGAGGGACCCCAATTTAGGAGGGGACACTGGGCTGTGTGTGTGTGTGTGTGTGGGGGGACCGACCCGAGGGTCAGGACGGGGCTAGACAGGCCTGCAAGGGTTGCCAGATCTAGCAAATAAAATTACAGGACTCCTAGTTATATTTGAATTTCACGTAGGCAACGAATAACGTTTTAGTATATGTCATGCAATATATATTCTGGGACATACGTATACTACAAAAATTATCGTTGCTTATCTGGAATCCAAATGTAACTAGGCTTCCGGTAATTTACCTGGGAATCCTGACCGGTGGGAGGAGTAGGGGAGCCAGACAAGGGAGGGGATGGCGCGACCCGCCTCGGGACCCAAGCCTGGAAAATGGGTAGCCATGTCACAACGGTGGGGTGCCCTAGTGGGGAGAAGGCTGAGGCCGCTGCTTTGTTCGTCCACCCCGCGCCGTCAAGCAGCATCGAGGCCTCAACTTGTTCTTCCCGGACGAGAGGGGCGCCCGATACCAGAACTTTGGTCTCGTCCCACCCACCCGCGTACACCCATGGTGTCGCCCTAATGTCCTATCGATAACTCTACGCTCGGCCTCAGCCTTTATCGACTCACTTCGGCTCCGCTCGCCGTCCTGGACCACGGCGGAGCGCAGAGCCGCATGTAAGGTACGGAGGCCGCGGGACGAGGGCTGGAAGGCGGCTGCCGGGTGGCCGGGAGAGCGCGTCCGGGGGAAGCTGGCCCGGCGGGACGGAGCCAGGGCGGTCTGCGGAGCACTAGGGAGCGCTGGGGTCCCGCCACAGAGCGCCCCCTCACATCAGATCTAGCCGCCGGCTTACTACGCATGCGCAGCCGCAGGGTTCGGCTTTTCTGTCTGCCGGTCAGCCGCCTTGCGCACGCGCGGCACGCCCCTGCGGCAGTGCGGCACCCCGGGTGTGACTGCCCCCTGCCGGCGGTGGAAGGGGTGGTGTCCCGGCCTGGTCTGTGGGGCCAGGAACGACCGCAGGCATTGGAGCTGGAAGCCTTCCGGCCTGTTGTCACGCATGTCCCCGAACCTCTCCGAGCCTCAGTTTTCTCTATCTCTAAAATAAGAATGATAATACCTATCTCTCAGCACCAAGTGGACCTATAGTCTGTTTAGGACAGAGAGGGTATACCCCCAATATTACTTGCCTTTCTTTTTCCTAGATGCTCTAACCTTTGGTCCCTGCCCAGTCTTCCAAGCAGCCACAACATGAACACGTCCCCAGGCACGGTGGGCAGTGACCCGGTCATCTTGGCCACTGCGGGCTATGACCACACGGTGCGGTTCTGGCAGGCCCACAGTGGGATCTGCACCCGCACAGTGCAGCACCAGGACTCTGTATCCTTGACTGGGGAAGTTGGGAGGGTGGTGCTGGGCAGGATGCCTGGTGGGTGAACAGCCTGGCCAAAGGCCTGGGGTGGGGAGGATGCAGCTAAGCCAGATGGAGGCCTTGAGGGCCGCTGGCCCAGGGCTCTGCTCGTCATTCTCCTTAACAGACCCAGCAGGTGAACGCGCTTGAGATCACGCCTGACCGCAGCATGATTGCTGCTGCAGGTACCTGTACCCTCACCCTGACCCCTAATCTCTGGCAGGTTGCTCTAGGCACAGCCAAACCTCAGTTTGGCCTGTACCCACAGGTTATCAGCACATCCGCATGTATGATCTCAACTCCAATAACCCCAACCCCATCATCAGCTATGACGGGGTCAATAAGAACATCGCGTCTGTGGGCTTCCATGAGGATGGTCGCTGGATGTACACGGGTGGGGAGGACTGCACCGCCCGGATCTGGGACCTCAGGTGTGGGTGCCAGGCAGGAGGGGCCTGCTGCCTGGATATGTGGGGGTGAGAGCCAGGCAGGAGACTCACTTAGGTCAGGTCCCCTCCAAGCAGAGGCTGAAACTAGGTTTGCTGTGTGGGCGATTTATTGAGGGCAGTGAGGAAAGCAAGTTGGAGCAGGGATGAAACCACACAAAGATGAGTCCAGCCTCAGCCTGATCCTACAGGGAGCTCTGGAGAGCAAACTGCATCAAAGAACAAGTTCCACCTTGAGGCAGGGTGCCAGCCTTTATGCCCCTTCTGAGTCAGTCATTGGCTTCAGGCAGCCCCTAGGGAAGGCTGAGCCCCCCCAAGTGTTTCCTGTGGGGCACCTCCTCTCAGCAGAGGGACAAGGATAAATGGCCAGGGAAAGGGCATCTGGGTGGGGTACCAACAGCATCCACTACAGACAGTGTGTCTCCTACCCCGAAGGTCCCGGAACCTTCAGTGTCAGCGGATCTTCCAGGTGAATGCGCCCATTAACTGCGTGTGTCTGCACCCCAACCAGGTGAGGGGTATGCACAGGGCTGGGCACCCCGGGGCTTTGGATGGCAGGAGCCCTACTCTACCTCACTTCCCCTGCACCCCAGGCGGAGCTCATTGTAGGTGACCAGAGTGGCGCCATCCACATCTGGGACTTGAAGACTGACCACAACGAGCAACTGATCCCTGAGCCTGAGGTCTCCATCACATCTGCCCACATAGACCCAGACGCCAGTTACATGGCAGCAGTCAACAGCACCGTGAGTCCTGGGGTGGGTGCAGTATGGGAGGCCAGCTCAGCACCCAGCCCCTTATTCCCTGCAAGTGGGCATATTCCCCAGATGTCCCCTAGGTCCCTCCCCTTGTCCCACAGTCCTGCTTCCCCGTCCTGGGCTCCAGCTCAAACCCAGCCACCAAAGTCAGATGCCACCTCTCACTACCTGCTGTAGCCCGTCAGCAGATTCCATTTCGTGAATCTCTCAAGTCTGCCCCTCTCCTCCTCCCTATTGCCTCCTGGTCCAAGTTTCCCTTGTCTCCCCATCTCTGTGACCTCTCCCCACCTGGATCCATTCTCCCTCTGCTACCAGAACATCCTTCAGTGGTACCAGCCTGATCTCATTTTTCCCCTGGGTCCTTACCATGCCTCAAGATGCTGTGGTTTGGCCCCTGATTGTCTGTTTAGCCTCATTTTCTCCCTTTAATGTCCATTAAATCACTTGTCCCATGACATCCCCAGACTGCTCTCTTCTGAGCCTTTGGCTGCTGTTCTGTCTCTCTGGGATGCCCTCCTCCCATCTCATTCTTCACATTCCAGTTGGCCAGCAGCATCCTCCAGGAAGGCTAGGCATGGCCTGCTTTCTGCTCTCAGCCCAACAGGTGCTCCCTGCAGGCAGGACCAGATGTGCCTGCCACATGTCCCCAGGCCCCAGATCCCTGTGCACAGCCACAGTGTTGGATGGTGGCCCCTAGATCTGGGTCCATCTGCTAGGGCACCCTTCCCCATGTGTCAGACTGGAGGCGCCTATGACTTTCCTCCTACCCCACAGGGGAACTGCTATGTCTGGAATCTGACGGGGGGCATTGGCGACGAGGTGACACAGCTCATCCCCAAGACCAAGATCCCAGCACATACCCGCTATGCCTTGCAGTGCCGCTTTAGCCCAGACTCCACGTGTGTGCGGGGCTTGGGGGGACGGGAGCCCTCAGATGGCTTTGGGAGGAGGGGACCTGTCTGGCGCTGGGGGCTTGATGGGTTGGGCCTGCCTGGTGGAAAGCAAGGAGGTATAGGGTTGGAGTGGCTGATGATGACACCCCTGCCACCTCACACCTATCCCTAGGCTCCTCGCCACCTGCTCGGCAGACCAAACATGCAAGATTTGGAGGACATCCAACTTTTCCCTGATGACGGAGCTGAGCATCAAGAGCAGCAACCCTGGAGAGTCGTCCCGAGGCTGGATGTGGGGCTGCGCCTTCTCGGGGGACTCCCAGTACATTGTCACTGGTGAGCCCCACCCACTCTGCCTCCCTGTCCCGCAAGCCCAGTGGCAGCTGCTGCTGCTACTCCCCTGCCACCTGGGAGCTGGCCTCCAGCGTGGCCCAGACTGGGGCCATACCCTGACCTGCTGCCCACACTCCTTCCCTGCAGCTTCCTCTGACAACCTGGCCCGGCTCTGGTGTGTGGAGACGGGAGAGATCAAGAGAGAGTACGGTGGCCATCAGAAAGCCGTGGTCTGCTTGGCTTTCAATGACAGCGTGCTGGGCTAGCCTCTGCCCTGTTGGGGTTGCAGGCAGCCATCAGGCGGCATCAGCTGGATGTGACTGTTCAGCTGCCCAGGTCAGAGTGAACTCCCACAGGCTAGCGTCTGCCAGCCTAGGCTAGCTGGACCTGACTAACCTACCCTAGCCCTCTTGGCCAGCCTAGATCAGCAGGCCCCTGGGGGCTCTTTTAGCCCTCAGTTGTTTATCTGTATGTGACAAGGCTCAGGAGGCTGACCCAAGCCAGCCTGGCTGGTGCCCCTCCTCCAGCCAGTGCTTTTCCCCCTCCCTGCCCCTGTTTCATGTCCTGAGGCCACAGAGAACAACATCATGGCCAGGTGGAGGGGTTTATTAACCCCCGCCGGCGGCTGCCCTCCACAACAGTACTGGTGACAGAGCCAGCTGGCTGGCTGGCCTGTGGGGCTGGGCAGACTGGGGGCTCAGTCTGGGAGGTAATAAAAGCAGACTGACACGCAGATGTTGCTTGGGAAGCAGATGTCGATGCACAGGTAGATCAGCCGCTGCCTCCGGGGCCCTGGCGGGGAGGGGCCTCTGTGAACCCCAAAGTGCTCCTTTCCATCTCCAAGACTATCCTGCGGGAGCCCAGGCCTCTCCCCACAGCCGGCCCCAACTCACCCTTGGCTCGACGGGCCCAATAAATGGGGGTCTTCTCGCAAAGGTGCCGCACCGAAGCCCCCACCTGGGTAGGGTCCACCTCACGGCTCCCAAGCACGGCTAGCAGCTCCTGGGCATAGCGAGTGTCCTCACTGGGGCTATGAGACCCTTGGGCCTGCAGAGAAGGCTCTGGTGGGCCATGGGCCAGGGATACTTGCACTGCCCGTGGCTGGGCAGGGCTCAAGCATCCCTGGATATGCCAGCAACATGCCAGCCCCGCCCTCAGCTCTTGTCAGCAGCTTTAACCAAGGGAAGATAGAGCTTCTGTTCCCCTGAAACTGGAGCCCCAGCCTGCCCTGGGCCCGAGCTGTACACAGGACCCTTTGTCTGGCCCCTGGCCCAGGAAGCCTGGCTGTGTGCAAGCAGGGGCTGCTCACCCTTGAGGTATTCACCAGAAGTTGCAGGGTTTCACGATCTTGGGGCTCCATCAGGCGGAGGAAGCAGGCCTGGTGCCCCGCAGGGCGGTAACAGACACAGCCCTGGGGAGGCAGGCAGGTGAGGCGGGTCCACCTCAACACCCATGGGCAGCAACCCCCCATCCCAAACCCCTGGCCTACTCACGCTCTGCCCATCGAACAGCACTGCCCAGCTGTGATTGCTCTGAGCCGGCATCACCCTGATGGTTGCCACGTTCCGGGCCACGTCCACCTGGGTGGTTTGGTTGGACTGGTATGCCCTCGGACTCGGGAGGGTCAGACGGAGAATCTGCAGCACTGGCTGGATGGAAGCCAAAACAGCTGGGCAGACCGGGGCAGCCCCTAGCCCACCTCCAGCCCTGCTGCAAGACTTCTGACCCTTCCGTACCTCTGTCCTCCCACCATCATCAGCTCAGCTCTGAGCCCTGGCTCCACTGGAGAGCTAGGTGTGCTGGCCCCTCCTCCCCTGCCCACTGCCCATGGCCCTGCCCTGGTCCTGAGGAGGGCTCACCTTGGAAGGGCTGTGAGCAAAGCCAAGAAGCCCTCCAGCCACAGCAGCGGCCAGTGCCAGCAGCAGCAGCAGGCCAAGAGCTCTCCAGCCCCCATGGCAGGGCCTGGGTTTCACCTGAGGGCACATTCCAGTCAGTGGGGCCTGGAGCAGAGACCTGAGAGCAGGCTGGCTTAGGGAAGGTAGGGACTGAGGTGTGGGAGATTGGTGCCACCCTTCTGTCCCCTGCTCAGGGCATCCCCTGGGTCTTCGTCCCAGGAGAGGGCACTGAGTGGCGGGAGGCACTCACCCTGACAGGCTCAGGCCCGGGGCCCTCTGCACGGCAGCTTCCCTGCTCCATGCTGCAGCCGTGGTGACAATGCACTGATTGTCTGCTGCCTCTTGGAGTCAGCCAGGGAAACCTCAGGATGCCTCAGATGAGCCAAACAATCGTCCTGGCCCCCTCCCCTCCTGCCCCTACTGCCTCCTCCCCAGCCCAGCTACCTGAGCCAGGACAGCCCTCTCTCCACCTGGGATGGGGGTGGAGGGGGTTGTTTGTCAACCCCAACGTGCCTGGCTCTCCCGACACTGGCCTGTGCAAACTAGAGAGTACATGGGCCTGGGAGGGCGTGACAGCATGGCAGTCATGGAATTCAAGTCCCACTGAATGGCAGAGGGCAGCCCAGGCCCAGCCACGACTTTGTAGTCTGGTTGGTGGCAAATGTGATTTTTCCTAAAGAGGCCTATTTCTAGTCTCAGGTTACCTCGACTCCTAAGGCTGGGCACAGGGCCTGGTACACAGCACACCATCAGTAAGTGCCTGTTTCATGAAAGATTAATATTGGACTCTGCTCCACCTCCCTTCTTCCCTCCCCATGCACCCCAGCGGCTTCCCAGACCCCAACACAGGATGGGCTGCCCAGCATCCCACAGAGCTCATGCCTGAGACCAGGAGTTTTCAGGAGGCTCTGCTGAAGTAAAGGCAGCCTACTTGAACCTCCCTCATACTCTGGGATGGTTAGGTCGGCCTCATGTCCACCAGCCCCTGCCCTGCCCAGCGTGGCTTTTCTCTGTGCTATAGCCCTAGCTCCTAGCTTGCATTTCCAGCCAATTGACAATGTGGATTGCGACAGTCACGGCTCCATGGGCACTGGCAGCTTTCACAACGTGAGTGTCCTCACCAGTCCTTTCCTACTTTGCTTTGTGCCATTTTCCCTAGTTCTTTTGAACCTGCCTCTCTGTGATGAGCCTGAGATGGGGTTGGGTTTCCAGCTCTGGAAATGAAATCCCAGAATGGCCCTCGACTTTACACCCCGCCCCCAGCTAGACAGCTGCAGCCTCTGGGTGAAGGCTGCTGGCAAGGCGAGAGCAAGGCACACCAGTCAGCGTGGGTTTGAGAGTTTAATATTCATTTGGGTTCACACAGTGCAATAGGGGCAGAGATGGGGTGCAGAAGAGGGAGTCTTGCTGGATGCCGCACCTGCAGCGTGCTCATGGTGTGGGTGACAACGCCCTGATAGGCCTGCTCAATATCCGGACCCACCTTGAGCCGACCTCGCAGAGCCAACATCAGCACCACCAACCTTACAGGTGCTGGCTGTTTTGTTGTTGCCTCACGGCAGTGTCTGAACCCCAGACTACCCCGGGCCTGGGAGGAGCTAAAGGCTCAGGATACCCTTTATTGCTCTGAGAACTCTTAGAGAATGAGTTGAAGGAATGCTGTGACCTTGGGACTAGGAGAGAAGCCACAGGCTGTGGGCAGACACCACTGGGTGCAGGGCGAGGCACTGGGAAGGAGTTGGCCCAAAAGAACAGCTTCCCAGGCTCTACCCCACAATAAGCGGGAGAGTCTGCTTATCAGGCGTGTTTACAAAGGTCAGCAACTTAGGGAACAGGCATAAATGGCCAGGGCCCCCTGCCAAGAACCCATGGCTAGCTGGTGGACCCTGCCAGTCCTCTAGCTGGCCACCAACAAGGGACTCCAGGGCTAATATAGTTGTCCTCATGGACCATTGGCATCTAACCCCCACCCCAATCAAGGGTATGGGAGGACAGGAAGAGATTGGATGCTCTGTAAAAAGACTTCCTGTCTTGGGAACACCCCTTTCTTCCCCCACCCAGAGGGCACCCTGGGTGACAGGCGTTCCTTGGCCAACATGACTTTAGCCATGCTACTGGCTGCGGAGCACAGACTTCTTCAGTGGGGTTTTCCCTACGAGACAGAGCACAGCTATTAATCAACACACTTAAGATTCAATTCCAACTATTGGCAAAGTTGTTCCTAAGATTTAAAAAATTCTTTTGGTACCAACTCTGCTCTGAGCTTCCTGCACGGGAACCCAAAGTTCAGCGAAGGCATCCATGCCCTCCTGGCCATTCTCAGCCAGCCTTATGCTCAGTCCAAGTCACCTGGGTGTAAATGCACATCTGAGAAAGCCAAGGTTTAGTTGGACTGAGTTTGCAGAACTGTGCAACCACGTACGAGGAGCAGCAGCCCTGGGCTTTTGAAACGGAACAGACAATTGTGACATAGTGGTTTTTAAGGAAGTGTGGGGTGGTGGTGGTGAGGGCAATACCCCACACACCAAGGACAGGGAGACACCACCAGGGAGCAGTCTCCTCCTCCACTCCCACGCTGCAGGTGAGCTGGGTGGGATGCAGCAGCAGGTTCCTCTGCTGACTACCACACCGATGGGGCCCTGGAGTCGGTTTCTACAAGTTTCTCACAACAGTCAAAATAATCAGCCCCTCCTCCCCTTTGCCTTGCAAGGGGGCTTGATCCCTGAATGAAATTTTCAGTAAAACATGTGACACCCCTAGACATGCCTCAGTCCCATCAGCAAGCCCTGAGGTTATCTGAATCTTGGTCAGACAGACACGGAGCCTGCTCTTGCCAACAGCAACCAAGGCCCAGGACCCCCACAATGCCCTCCAAGCTTAAAAGTGCATCTTAAGACATAAACATCTGTAATAAAATCACCCCCAAACATTTACTTACAAGGTTAACAACTAGTGCCTTTGCTTAAAACTCCAAGCGTACTCTTTAAAGCCACCTAGCTGAGCAGATGCTTGAGCCCCACCTATTAATTTGGTTAAGTAATTAAAAATTTTTTTTATTCGGCAGATTAAAGACACTAAATCTTTAACCTTGAAGGGCTGGCAAAAGGTCGGCTATGCTGTCAACATAGAAGTCAGGGACCATTTTTTTCTTAGACATGCAGTCACTTTCCTGATTACTCTTCACATCCCCTAGAGTGGAAACTCCGGTGAGGGTGAGGATGGTCTTCAGGCCACAGGTGACACCCAGGAGGATGTCTGTGTCCAGGCGGTCTCCCACCATGACGGTGCGCTCCGGATTGATGCCATACTCCTGGGACACGCAGTCGAAGATGAAGCGGCTGGGCTTCCCTATGATGTCAGCCTGGCGCTGGGAGGCCATCTCCACTGCTCGTACCAGACAGCCCGTACCTGCGGGGCGGAGGAAGACGGGAAGGGGGAGGGGAGGAGAGCGCCCGGGGTCAGAGGACCGGAGGGGCCCGCCGCCCGCCCTCCCACCTCTCCCGCCCCCGGGGCGCACGGACCCGCGATGAAGCGGCCGTTCTCGAGCGGGAGCCGGTTGTCCATGTTGGTGCCCACGAGCAGGCAGCCGGGCTGCTGCAGGTAACGCACGGCCTTGGTGAGCTTCATGTAGCTGAAGTGCGGGTCGAACCCCACCACAACCGCGCGCACATCGGGCTCCAGCGGGGCTTCCAGCCAGGCGCTGGGGCTGTCGCCCTGCAAGGGCTCAGGCCCCACGCCCACGCAAGCGACGCCCACGGCCTCCAGCTCCGCTGCCAAGGCCGCGCCGCCCAGCACGTAGGCCTTAGGGGCCCGCGCGCCAGCCAGGCGCTGGCGCAGGTATAGCGCGGTGCAGTAGGCCGTGCCAAAGACCTCGAGGCCGGCGCCTGACCCTGCCGGGCCGCCAAAACCCAGGCGCTGCAGCTTCTCGGCGTAGGCCTCGCGGGTCTTGCTGCTGTTGTTGGTGATGAAGCCGAGGCGCTTGCCGCGAGTCCGCAGCGCCGTCAAGGCCTCGGGCGCGCCAGGTATGGCTGTTTCGCCGCGCCACAGCACCCCATCGCAGTCAAACAGCAGCGTGTCCACCTCGGCCAGCAGCGCCTGGGCCCGCTCAGCGCTTAGCCGCACGCAGCGGGCGTCGTCGCCGCCGGCCTCCGCCATGGCCGCCCGCCACCGGCCGCCGCCACCACCACCGGCCACTACGCTGCCGGCCGCCGCCGCCACCACCACCACCACCACCGGCCGCTCCTCGCAGGCGCCCGGCGCCACGCCCGCCACGCCCCCGCCGCGCTCATTGGCCCCGTGCCTTGTGCGCACCGCCCATTGTACGCCACCTGCGCCAATCTGTCCTGGGCTCCTTCGGGCTGCCGGAGCTTAGCGTTAACCGTCGCGGTACAGCACAGGGAGGCGGGTGGCCATTGGCTGTAGGAACCGGGGAGCCCCGATGATTGGCTGGCAGGGAGCCAACCGGCATTCGGAGTGGAGCGTTCACTGCGGAAACGCTGCGGAGAAGCGGAGAGCCGGCGCAAGGGGCGCAGCAGCTCGCCCATTGGAGGCGCGTGGTCAGCCTAGGTGACGGAGGCCCTTAATCGAGTGACCTCGGGCCGAGACGGCTGCTGATTGGCTGGCTTCTCTCCGCCTTGCGGGCGGGGCTGTGCGCGGGAGCACAGTGGGACGAAGGCGCTATCTCTTAGGGCGGGAGTTAGGTCTTCACCTTTGCCTGGGCGGCGCTGGGCTGTGCCCTTTGCGCTGGCCGCTCTCTGCGCTGGACGCCCTCCGGGCTCGGTATCAGCGCGCCGACTGATTACAGCCCATCCTGAGAGCCAACCCGGGGAGCCCCTCAACAAGCTTTGCGTTCTCATTTTCAGCCCTTTGCAAAAACGCTTTCCCTGTGCGTTAGTCGTCTTGTGAACGAGTAACTACAAGGCAGTGGGATTAGGGACGAAGAGCAGTTCTCAACCTTCCTAATGCCACGACCCCTTAATATAGTTCCTCATGTTGTGGTGACCCCCAATCAGAAAATTACTTTTGTTGCTACTCTATAACTGTAATTTTGCTACTGTTATGAATTGTAATATAAGTATCTTTTTGTTTTCAGATGGTCTTAGGTGACCCCTGTGAAAGGGTCATTCGACCCCCCAAAGGGATCGCGACCCACAGGTTGAGACCCGCTGGTCTGAGAAGGACACTGCCTAGAACACAGCACTCAATAATTGGTTGCTATTATCGTTATTATTAGGTTATTGTTACCTTTTATTGAGTAATGTAAAATGTATGAATCTTAGGTGTGCAACTTGATGGAATTTTTACATACCTATACAGCTGTGTAAACACAATCCAGATCAAGATATAGAATATTTCCATCACTCCAGGATGTTCCCTCACACCTCTATCCAGTCAATAGCAGATACCCCTCCCCCAACCACTTTTCTGACTTCCCTCACCATAGAATGAGTCATAGTCTCCTTTGTCTGTTCTAGCCCAGTGGTCAGCAAACTTTTGAGATGGAAGATCCAATCCTGTCCCTCGAAGTTTTGTGAGATCTATAAAACAAATGAAATCACCATTATGTGAATAATATCCTTTAAAATTTTTATAAATGAAACTGAGTTTTATTTTCATTTTCAATTTTACTTCAGAGCCACATGTACGTACCCAAAGAGCCGCATGTGGCTCTCGAGCCACAGTTTGCAGACCCCTGCCCTAGCCTGACCTCCAGTCATCTGACCTGTGCTTCACACATCCCAGCTCCTGCCAGGCCAAGGGTCCTCAGTTTACCAGCTGGGCAGCCCCAACATGGAGACAATCTCTGTTTGGTACCCTTCCCAGGGCAGAGCTGCCCACTCTCTGCCTGGACCCTTGTGTCTGTGGTTGGTCTTGGAGACTGGACTTCCTGGAGGGGATCGGGTCTGATCCACTTGAGCCTCTGGCATCCAGCATTAGGCTAGGCCACAGAGAATAAGTGAGCTGGAAGAGCATGCCCTGTGGGTTTCCAGCCCATGGCTCTAGAAAGACCTGGGTTAGTCTCCAGTCTGCCCTTGGGCAAGTGTTCTAGCAGTTCTTTGCCTCAGTTTCTTCATCTTCAAAATGGGGATGATTAGTATATTAAACGAGAAAATCCTGTAAAGCACTTAGCTTGAAAGAGCTAATTAAATATTACCTTAAGAATAAAAGGAAGGGGTCGGCCGAATGGCTCAGTTGGTTAAGAGCTTGCTCAAGAGTTTGAGCTCTGAGCAACAGTGGTTCGCGTCCAGCCCGAGCTGAGCAGCCGCAGA